CTCAAAATATTCAAAGTATGTAACAGACAGACAAATTTCGCTATGTCATTGCCTTTCTAATGAAGTAAAGTACCTGCAGCCCAAATTTCATTGATTTTCAATGGAAAATAAAAAGTTATGGCTGCCACAAACATGAGAAATGTGGAAAAAGTAATACCTTAGGAAATCAATGGAAAATGCATTAGACCGCATTGAAAAGTTGAGTTCAGTTTTTAATCCTTGTAGCAATTAGTGATTATTAAAGGTGGGTTATTATAGAATATTTTTATTCAAAAAAAATTTTTGGAAAAATAATCAAATTTTGCCCATTTAACCCCAGATCACCCCTTAAGTGACCCAATTTTCGTGGTAGTTGAGAAAGAGCAGGCTGTAAATGGGATGGTTAGCCTGTCGTGTGCATAAGTTTTTTCTGACAGCAGATGTATTTCAATTATTGCTTTGACTAATTCTCCCTTTCTGAGCTTTGAGTGTGGTACATACAAATCCTTGCATATCTGTTTCAGTTCACAAACCCCGAGTCGAGAGATTGCTCTACTCTCGCTGACTGCAGATTTGTTAACGGTCTCCACTTTTTCTTCTGCCATACACAATGTCAAGAGCTCATGCGCTCTCCAAATCTTGCTTTTTCTCGCCCTTAAACCGAACGGGTGTAATATGCGGACAATGCACAACTTTATATCTCCCTCTCACTTGATGATCTGAGCCCTGTGGAAAATGAAGGTCATTCATGATATTCATGAAGGTTTTCCTGTGGCATCTGCCCGGAGAAATTGACTACGTGCTTGAATAACTAACAGTGCCCCCTGCTGGCATAGCAGAACTCCACCTTAATGCCATAACAAATTCTTATTTTTTCTCATCAGTCCATTTCATATATTAAGTTTCCAAAGGTTTTACTGTGGCATATCCACAGAGATGCCGTAAAATAAGGTATCGACAAAAGCGCCACCTAGTGGCAGTTTCAGCTGAGATTACACTTCAAATATCTGACTTGCCAAATAGTGCCAAATAGAGCAATATAATAATTCCACCTTTTCTTGAATCCACAAGGTAGAGTCTGATTCTCCAAAGTTCAAGTATCTACCTAGCTGGAGTAAAATTTTATGGATACCTAAAGATGGTCCCAAATTAGCCGAGGTCACTTTCAGGTCATATTGGCAACTTTGAAAGGGGACAGCGGTAAAATACTAAAGAGTGCAAAGCAATTCTTGGTACCTTTCATACACCATGGAAGAAGGTATAAATCAACCTATTCATAAGTTCCATTCTTGCCTGGAGTATTGAGATGTGTGACATCAAAGTAGGGCCAAAACAGCTAAAGTTCGATTTTCAAGGCCAAATATCCCCAAAAGTCCAGCAAGGTGCCGGAGGAATTCTCATATTATGCTATTATACATTCATAGGCCTTCACCATAAAGCATAGTTTCTCAAGACATGTTGCTGGAGGGTCATTTCATGTCAAATGTCCGAATGGCTCCCACTTGACCATCTCAGATTTGGCTGAAAAAAAATTCAGCAAGTGCATTCACCTCCTAATAGGAGAAATTCAAAATTTTAGCTCTCAATTCCTAATAGTTTTGTCATAAAAAAATATTTTTGCAACCAAGTTCCGGCCCTTTTTGATCAGCGATTTCTGCGGAGCCACTTTCACATGGCTATATCTAGAATGGTATTTCAGCTAAGTCCTTCAAATTTTCAGGGGTGAAAATCTGCTACTATAACTTGAGGAATATGGACTTATAAAGGTGTCCCTTTAGTTCATCATATATTTCTGGGAGCTTAAGTTTGCTCAAATTTTACCCTGTGCTCTGCGGTACCATATTTGAAGGACTGTAAAAACCCTAATTTCAAAGACAGGGATTTGGTATTGCACATACAGCATCCCATACATGCCGTGTATTTTGTATTCTAATTCTGCTCCTCTCTTATGAATAATCTAGGTCAATTTATGAAATAAATTACATTGCATGAAATTTATGAAATAAGCACTTGGTTGAATTTAAGCTTTCAATCATTAACTATGTGCATTTTATCAAATAATGTTTGAATATGCCTTTGATGCCATTAAATGCTGTGCAGGGTTTCCGTTATATGTAATTGATCGTGGCGCACCGCCACAGCAAAATAAAAGCCACCACGCCTGTGTAAAATGACTTCACATAAACTCCAAAAATCCTAATGACAATCAGGTGTCGCCAGTTCTCCTTGTTAAGTTAAAATGAACGCTAATAGCTGCTGGATAGCTCACTCGGTTAAAGCACCGCATTGCGGAGTAGAAGTGACGATCACAGCACGGGTTCGAGCCCCGGTTGTACCAACCGGCAGTGGTCGGCAGCTTTTTCAGAAGTAGCACAAAATTGGCCATTGCGCTACAGGGATGCAAATTGGGAAGGGACTGCCAGGAAGGGAAATATAAAATGGTTGCTTTGTTCGTTGCTCAAGCGCCTCCTGTTGGCCAGCCAGGCGCTCGTCAGAAAGATTCTAAGCTTGCTCATGTTCGGGTATCCTCCGCCCTCGTTCTGAACTTGTGAGGACTCAACCAATGAGTGTAAAGTAGGCATGGGCAACGCTCTGCATAAACTCTAATGGAATGCGTAACAGCTGAACTGGGGCGGTAAACAAGCCTCAGAAAACTTATAAAAAAAATGATGTAAATACCATTTTCATACAAAAAGAACACCATGGTTTGATTAAAAGCAACCTTTTCAATAGGATACCCGCATTTCATACATGAACTCAGCGTATTACGGCCAAAAACGCGATTTGAACAGAGCTATTGTTCGCCCGTAGGATGAATGCGTGACCTCAATTTGCGCCGTGTTTACAAATTTTCAAGTGCACGGCGTGGCAAAAATAACCATTTAGGAGGGAGATTTCAAACAGTCCGCGTCGACGTCTTATCCCAGCTACGGCCCTGATTTGCTAATAGCCATCTAATTTGAGAAATTACGAGTTTGTTCGTCCAGGCTAGTCCTCCAGGGGATGAGAAATAAGTTCGACAGAAGTTGGTGAAGTTCGTCACGAGTTCGCCGTGATTTCTTCTCAACAATAGCAAGAAAGGTGAGCGTATTTTTTACTTCACCAAACATAGTTTGTTGACTGAATATCCTGTGACCCTATTTGTGAAGTTTCAGTAAAATATACCAAGGAATAAACCTGCGCCAGGCCTTAGAAGCCCACCGGTCACAAGCAAGATTAATTCACGAATAGCTTCAATTCGAGACTGCAAGGATGGAAATCTGAATAAACAATTAGGAAAAATTCTCCGCTCTCGGTAATTCTGTATATCGTTTAAACATTTTGTTAATCGGATTATGAAAGAAGACTGAAAATAAGCGCCCGCTTTTTGTTTGGATGTAAAAGCGCGTATTTAAAGGAGAATACATTGTATATTGATTAAGCATTGAACTCTGCATAAGTCGAACTGTTTTAATATTTGTTGATGACATTGCTCCGGCTTCCTGGAAGCAAGTACGCGCAAATTTGCTGTCTAGTGAGCATTTCAGGTTCGATGTACTGAGTAATAATGCCGCGGAAACTTAAACTGGCCCGTCATTCTGCGAAATAGTCTTACTAAACTAGTTAATCGTCTGATTGCTAATCAAGCAAAGGGGAGGTTTCTGCCTCGCCAAACTAACCTCCGACTGCACGTCACTGTGTTTTACTAAGAATTATTCACAGTAGCTCATTGAAACTATCATGGGAGGAGGGTATATGGACATAGTAAAAACAGTGCAAAGTTTTTTTTTTTTTTTTGAAATCACCACGGGTTATTGAAGGGGGAACGTTTGATTCATTTCGTAGCAGTGGGAGGGCAAACAACTGCCGGCATCAGCGACTTCACTGCATTTTATATAGTAATGGGCGAGTAGCGTTAATGTTTGCCCTCCCACCGATAATTTTGGCATTTTTGCAGGCCATTGATCCAAAAAAACTTCACAGGCAACCCATTCATACCATTTTTTAACATCAATGCAAAACCTAATGTTTGTTGAACATAATTGGGTGAAATTCAATGCATTTTCCATTAAAAAGGGCCTAGGGGGCGCTGCTGTACTTCAGAAAAGGGGTAGATGACTTTAGCATCAATTATTTCTGTTAGGGTACCCTAATGGATAATTTGGCCAGGTTTATTTCTGAATAGACTGTATTTTCGAAAATGCCCTCAGGCTTCACCCCCCAATTTTCACAATGGGTTTTGTTGAAAAATGCCGAAATCAGCCATTTTTGGGACCCTGTGGCTCTGGGACCCTTTCCTGTAAAGGCCTTGGACTTGTGGCAAACTCTTCGTCTGTGTCTTCTGTACTTACCTGCAAAAAATCATTAGAAAATAATAAAAACTTTGTTCTCAGCAACTCAAGAAATGTTGTCATTTTATTCATTTGTATTGCCCATGCCTATATAGTGGAACATAATTGCATTTCCGGAGGGGGCAGTTTTTGACGGACAATATAGCAGCATATTTTTCTACGATACTGTTCAGACATGTATAGGGACAGTCATAATCTTTTGTATTCATAAAAAAAGACATTTATGGTCATTATGAAGGTTATGACCTGCACTTTCATCACAAACAATATAAACATATGATCATTTAACAGATGAAACATGGAAAATGTCAAAAAGACATTCATTTCTTTTATTTAGGAAGCACTTAATATTTTTTATTAGGTAAACAGTGTCTGTAGATGGTGGTGGCATTGCTTCATTAAAATGACCTAATTTAATACCAGTCATTTACCTCAAGATTATTGCAAAAAATTGGCCCAAAATGTAAAAAACTGACTTAGTACTCTGAATATGAAACAGCCAGTTTCATCTCCCGTCATATCAGTCATTTCCAAAATCTCCCTGACTGCGTGCACTACCATCCTCATCCTTTCAGATGTTGTCTTAATTTCTCCAGCAAAATTTCAGTGTGTGACCATCTAGTGACCAGTTTGTGAAAGCTATGAACCTCCATTTGTTCAAATCCTTATTCTTCGCCATTTCAACTGGGCGGCGCAGTGGTACAGTAGTTAGTACAGCTGCCTCGCCATACGGAGGTTCTGGGTTCGAGCTCCAGCTGGCCAGGGCCTCTCTGCGTGGAGTAGGACCCTATGATTTCCGCGATCACGGAATCGCGGAATTGGCCAATAAAGACGGAATCTATTGATAAACGCTGAATTTCGCGGAAATCGGCATAATTTGACTGAAATGCTGTTCATAAAGCCACGTTTCCACCGAACGCTAAACAAAATATTCGTGTGTCCAGATTACATTCAAAGTCAATGTAAAGACGCGAATGCACGCGAAAATGCGCGCAGCCTTCGTCAAATTCACCTGCCCCGAGTGTTCGAGCAACACATCTCTTCGGTGCTACAGAAGATCTGTGGGAAGAAGTTTTTCGTTGTTGTAGACGAGACCACTGATGCCAGGGATTGCAGGGTCCTAAACATCGTCATTTGTCATCTTGTGTTAGCTTAACAACTTATATAATTGTTAAACAGCCTACATTATTTCTTTTCACAGTCCGCTTAGTGAACTGTGTGCATGCAAATTATGACGTAACGTCGTCCCCCAGTGGTGAAATAATAGCTGATGCATCTTTGTGTCAGTTTGTTCATGTTTAATCATTACTGTAGAACATTTTGTCCTAGAATGGAATACACAGTATTGGGATTACTGAACAGAAGTTTCTTAAAAATAAAAAAATAAATTAAATATAGCTGATGCATCGGAATCAGACAACTGTTGATTCGTGGGGGAAACTGAGTGTCATTACTGCTGCTCTCATACATTCATATAAATACACAACATATATACAATAAGATTATAAATGATTAAAAAGGGGCAGTCAGAATAATACGTCAGTACGGCTGTTGTCTGGCTTTTTGACTGTAGCTTACACTTCCTTTAAAGAGACAATTTTAATTTGTAGTATTATTTTGGGTAAAAAAAAAAATTCTTTCATCACAGTGCAATGTAATATTGCGTCATTATGCAGTACTTGTTCTGACTTAAAGTACTGAGGAAAATGGAGGGTTGCATCTACTAATTTAAGGTTATTTCTATTTAATTAGTGAACATTTTATTCATTAACATAAATAGCACACTCTCTCTGATGGTAAAATTGGTGTATTTGCGAAAAAACGGAATTCCAAAAAATTAAAACGGAAAAAACGGAATTTGGGAAAAAATAAAACGGAATTTGGAAAAAAATAAAACGGATTTCATACGGCCCTAGTGGAGTTTGCATGTTCTCCCAGCGTCAGCGTGAGTTTCCTCTGGGTACTCTGGTGTTTCCCACCCAGAAAGACATGCTCTATAGGAACACTCCTACCAGTGTCCCTGACCAAGGCTCTGGCTTTAGAAAGACATGCTCTATAGGAACACTCCTACCAGTGTCCCTGACCAAGGCTCTGGCTTTAGAAAGACATGCTCTATAGGAACACTCCTACCAGTGTCCCTGACCAAGGCTCTGGCTTTAGAAAGACATGCTCTATAGGAACACTCCTACCAGTGTCCCTGACCAAGGCTCTGGCTTTAGAAAGACACACTCTATAGGAACACTCCTACCAGTGTCCCTGACTAAGGCTCTGGCTTTAGAAAGACATGTTCTATCGGAACACTCCTACCAGTGTCCCTGACCAAGGCCCTGGCTTTAGAAAGACATGTTCTATAGGAACACTCCTACCTGTGTCCCTGACCAAGGCTCTAGCTTTAGAAAGACATGCTCTATACGAACACTCCTACCAGTGTCCCTGACCAAGGTTCTGGCTTTAGAAAGACATGCTCTATAGGAACACTCCTACCAGTGTCCCTGACCAAGGCTCCAGCTTTAGAAAGACATGCTCTATAGGAATAATCCTACCAGTGTCCCTGACCAAGGCTCTGGCTTTAGAAAGACATGCTCTATAGGAACACTCCTACCAGTGTCCCTGACCAAGGCTCTGGCTTTAGAAAGACACACTCTATAGGAACACTCCTACCAGTGTCCCTGACTAAGGCTCTCGCTTTAGAAAGACATGTTCTATCGGAACACTCCTACCAGTGTCCCTGACCAAGGCCCTGGCTTTAGAAAGACATGTTCTATAGAAACACTCCTACCTGTGTCCCTGACCAAGGCTCTAGCTTTAGAAAGACATGCTCTATAGGAACACTCCTACCAGTGTCCCTGACCAAGGTTCTGGCTTTAGAAAGACATGCTCTATAGGAACACTCCTACCAGTGTCCCTGACCAAGGCTCTGGCTTTAGAAAGACATGCTCTATAGGAACACTCCTACCAGTGTCCCTGACCAAGGCTCTGGCTTTAGAAAGACATGCTCTATAGGAACACTCCTACCAGTGTCCCTGACCAAGGCTCTGGCTTTAGAAAGACATACTCTATAGGAACACTCCTACCAGCGTCCCTGACCAAGGCTCTGGCTTTAGAAAGACATACTCTATAGGAACACTCCTACCAGTGTCCCTGACCAAGGCTCCGGCTTTAGAAAGACATGCTTTATAGGAACACTCCTACCAGTGTCCCTGACCAAGGCTCTAGCTTTAGAAAGATATGCTTTATAGGAACACTCCTACCAGTGTCCCTGACCAAGGCTCTGGCTTTAGAAAGACATGCTCTATAGGAACACTCCTACCAGTGTCCCTGACCAAGACTCCGGCTTTAGAAAGACATGCTTTATAGGAACACTCCTACTAGTGTCCCTGACCAAGGCTCTAGCTTTAGAAAGATATGCTCTATAGGAACACTCCTACCAGTGTCCCTGACCGAGGCTCTGGCTTTAGAAAGACATACTCTACAGGAACACTCCTACCAGTGTCCCTGACCAAGGCTCTGGCTTTAGAAAGATATGCTCTATAGGAACACTCCTACCAGTGTCCCTGACCAAGCCCCTGGCTTTAGAACTGGAGTTGGTCCCCGGCACTGCTCTATGGCTGCCCACCACTCCTAACTACAAACACATTTCCAGAAAAGTTGGGACACAATGTGAAATGTAAATAAAAACTGAATTTTTTTTTTTTTAAATGCTAAAAAAATGCACCTTGTGGTACGTCTCACAGCTCTGTAGATTAACTGGCAACAGTGACATGAATGGGTATGTAAAGAGCATCTCCAAGAGGCTGAGTCTTTCAGAAGATGGTGAGGGCTTCAACTCTCCGTGACAGACAGCACAGAAAATTTGTTCACCAATTTAAGAATGAAACTGCAAAGAAACTGGGGATTTAATCATCTATACAATGTAATATCATAAAATTACTCAGAGAATCCAGAAAAAATCTCTGTAAGCAAGGGACAAGGTTAAAAACTCATGTTCAATGGACGTGATCTTCAGGCCCTCAGGTGGCAATACATTAAAAACAAACAGGATTCTGCAGTGGAAATCAATGCATGGGCTCAGGAACACTCCTTAAAACTATTGTCAGTGAGCACAATTTGTTACTGCATCCACAAATTACACGTTCATTACCTAAAGCAAAAAAACCATAAACAAACAAGATCCAGAAACCCTACTGCCTTCTCTGGGCCTAAGCTCATTTATGAATGCCTGGGTGTAGAACTATCCTGTGGTCTGACCAATCAAAATCTGAATTTTTTTTTTGGGAAATCAAGGATGCCACGTCCTCTAGGCTAAGCAGGAGAGGGAACATCCAGCTTTTTATCAGCAAACAGTTCAAAAGCCAGCATCCACGATAGTATGGGTGTGCATTAGTGCATCTGGACTGAGTAACTTGCACATCTGTGAAGACGGCATTAATGCTGAACAATATATACAGGTTTTGGAGCAACATATACAGGCATCTTTTTCTGGTAAGGCTTTGGTTATTTCAGCAAGAGAAGTAAAAGCACATTGTGCACGTAATACAACATCATGGATCCGTAGTAAAAGAGTGTGGGTGCTAAACTGGCCTGCCTGCGATCCAGACGGGTCACCCATTTAAAAAATTTAGTGCACAAATGTGACAAAACAGTTTGAAACCGTGTTCAGAAGCTGAAATCTAAAATCAAGCAGGAATGAGAAAACATTTTGCTTTCAAAACTACAGGAACTGGTCTCCTCAGTTCCAAAACACTTACATGGTGTTGCTAAAAGAGATGATTTAACAGTGGTAAACATGGCCCTGTCCCAACTTTTTCTAAATGTAGTGCTGGCATCAAATTCAAAATGAGCAGGTATTTTCTCAAAAACAAAAAATTTCTCAGTGTCAACATTTGGTGTGTTGTCTTTGAAGAATTTTCAATTTATTATAGCGTTTAAGTGATTTGCCAATCATTGCAGTTAGTTTTTATTTACATTTTCACAAGGTCCAAACCTTTCTGAAAACGAGGGGGACAAATAAAGTATATTTTATTCTTAATCTTACTTTTCTCGCCCTCTCCACAGATATCCCAGAAGGTGGAACACCGCTGATAATTCCCCACAGATTAATCCAGTCACTGATCTGAAAATAGCCCATCCATGATTATTTTTGTCCTGCATTCCCTATCCTGAATGCCACGCTTACAGTACCTCTTTGGACAGCCTCATAGCTTTAACGACTCCAACTGCATTCTTTATTCATATTTACCGTAAAACCGAGCATCCGACCTAATCTACGTCTAAACCGACCTCTGCATTCATTGCCAAAGATTTACAAAATTATAACACACGTAACGCACACAGATTTTTCCAAATAACGTTGGCAACCGATGCATGTTTATGAAGGTCGGTTCGTCGTATAAGTACGCGTAAATGCAAACGCTTATTCGAAATTCGACAATTCAGCGAAATTGAAGTGGTATTTTCAAGATGCTTATGTGGCCTACTTGACTTTTACGAACCAGTTAACAGCTGTCAAGCTCCGTCTGCAAAGACGCATACATACGCACCTTTAATGTCTGTATAGCACAGAGTTTCCATCGCTCAGGCTATGTGTAGCCTTAAGGTGCTGACATACAGGAAAGAAGGCAGCGATTGCCCACAAATTAATCCTAAATTCTTCTAAAGACTATTTATTACTTCTGAACATTTGGGACATTGAAGTGGTATTTAGGCTTTCGAAAAGACAATGACTAGGAAAAATAAGATGTTGTGGGGATGTAAAACACTAC